TTTTTCTGGATTATTATTATTATTATTATTATTTTATTTTGTTTTTTTCTTTCTGGAATTGTTTCGCCTGTTTCTAGAATTTAAAAATATCGTATTTCGATTTTCATTTTTGGAAAGCTTCAGAAAAAAAAAAAAATTCCTTCGCGTTCTTTTTTTTTTTTTCTGTAATCGGTAAAACTTTGAAAATTTTCTAAAATGATAATGATGATGATAATATTGATATTTAAATATTTAAATTCGACCGCGAATGCTTTGCGTAATAATAATAATAATAATAATTTGCAAGAAATCGAGTAAAGATTTAGAATGAATGCTGAGGGGAAAATTTCGGACGAGGACGTCAAAAAAAAAATCGTTTTAAAGTAATAATAATAATAATTAATAAATTTAAATTTTTTTTGTTTGTTTGAAATTTATTTTTCCAGTTTTCGCTGGAATTTCTCGTAGTATTAAATTTTCCAAAAAAAAAAAAAAAAAAAAACAAAATTTAATCGATCTGAAATAAGTTTTGTTTTTTCCTCCACCAAAAATTTTCCCGGGAAAAAAATGAAATGCGACTCGATTTGAATTATTATTATTATCATTATCATTATTATTATTATCATTATTATTATTATCATTATTATTATTATTATTATTATTATTATTATTATTATTATTATTATTATTATTTGAAATTCTGTTTTAAAAAAAAAAATTAATTTAAAAAATTTAAAAACTCACCCTTTTGAATATTTTTTCCATTTTTTTTCTTTTTTTCCACCTGCATTGTAAATAAATAATTTGATGTTTTGTAGAATGTAAGAAAGAAGTAGCAGAAGACGTCATAATTTGACGGTTAAAATTTTCCAGTTTGTAAAAAGAGGAAAAGGAAAAAAAGAAAATTTCAAGTCCATCACTTTTCGAGTTTTTTTTTAATCATTATTATTATTATTATTATTATTATTATTATTATTATTATTATTATTATTATTATTATTATTATTATTAAATATTTAACCCTTTTCTTTTCACGTTCGTACGTTCATCTGTTCGTTTCTTTTTCTTTTTTTTTTTTTTTACTGGAGAAAGAAAAAGTGACGGTTAATAAAAATAATTTTTTTTTTTTTTGAAAAGGGGGTTTTGAGGGGAGAAGAGAGATGAGGGGAAGAGGGAAGGGAGGGAAGGGGAGAGAGTCGTAAAAAAAAAACAATAATTTTAATCGTGATGGAATCTCTTTTTATTTATTTATTTATTTTCATCCATCCATTCATCGTCAAAAAAAAGAAACTTTCTGTAAAACATTTTTCCCGACGTTAACTTTTCTTTTTAAATTTTCTTTTTTTTTCGAATTTCGAATTTCGTAACCGCCATTTTTCTTTTCGAAATTATTCTAGAGAGGGTAAAAAAAATTGATTGCGTCGTTTAGGATTTGTATTTAGAAAAAAAAGTAAAAAATTACATTTTCCTCTTCGTTACGCGATTGTAATTTAAAATAATAATAATGATAATAATGATAATAATAATAAAGAGAGTTGTTATTAAAAATAAAATAATAAATTTTTGTTTAATGCGGAACGCGTATAAGACACACACACACGAACAAAATAAATTTTTTATTTTACCGTTTGTGACGTCATAATTCGGGAGGGATTTAAAAGGACAAAAAAAAAAAAAATTTGAACATTAAAAATTTGATTTTTATCTACACGTTGTGCGTGTGCGTGTGCGTGTGTTTTCCAGCGTGTAAAAATCTGGAGAATTAAAAATTTTTTTTTTTTAACTAAAACAAACAAACAAACAAACGGAAGTGATTGTCGGTGTAAATGTTTTTTTTTTTTTTTCAAAATGGAGACGCAGTTTTGTAATGTTTTGCGCGTTTGTTGTTGTTGTTGTTATTGTTGTTGTTGGATGTTGACGTCATCACATTCAAATTTTTTTGGGGAGTATCGTAATAAATGTTAATAAAATTTTTTTTTTCATCGGGGTTAACGTTTCCGTTGAAATGAAAAATTTTTTCCCAAAAAGATTTAAAAGTGTTAGGTGGAATCAGTAAAAAAAAATTTCAAGAGGGGGAAACTGGAATAAAAGTGGAGGGGGAGGGAGAGAGGGAGATAAAAAAGAAAGATGAAAAAACAAACAGGAAAAAAAAATTCTAAAAAAAAAAAAAAAAAAAACAAAAGATTTATTACCGCGAATTGTTATTTATAACACGATTTCGTGTATTATTATTATTATTATTATTACTACATTTCCAGGATTTCCAATTTCTTTAAAAAAAAAAAACAAATCTGGAAATGTTTTTTTTCCTATTTTCTCCAGTCGATATTGATGCTCTCGTCGCGTTCCATACATTTTCTTTTTTTTTAATAAATTCACTCGTTAAAAAAAAAAAAAAAAAAAAATTCACGATCGACTGGGGACTGTGAAAGACGTTTAAGAACCGGAAACACCGAACCGGAACCGGAAACACAAAAAAAAATTAACATAAAAAAAAACATTTTAAGTGGCAATTATTAATTAACTTAACTCATTATTATTATTATTATTACTGTTCTTTTTAATTTTGTTCTGTTGTTTTTGTTGTATTTAAACGTAAATTATTATTATTATTATTATTAAATTAAAAAGTCGTGGAAAAGTTTTTTTTCTCTCTCTCTTTCTAATTTTTGTCTTTCTTAAATTCGAAAAAAATTTTTTTTGTTCGTCATTGTCAACACACAAACAAAATTTCGATTGTTTGTCTTTTTTCTCTTTATTAAATAATAGTGATGATAATAATAATAATAATAATAATAATCGGGTTACGAACGGAAACGATGATAAATAATTTCACTTTTTCTTTTTTTTTTGTCGTCGTATTCCCCGAGGAGGGAAAAAAAAAAAATTTTTTTAATTATATTTACGTAAATACAAAAACGACGAGAACGATTCGTTTAATTAAATTTTTTTTTCAAATGTTGGTAAAATTGTAAACAAAAAAACAAAAAATTTTTTATTTGCGGGAAAATTTTCCGATTGCGTTTTCTTACTCTATGACTTGTGCGTGGGTTATGTGGGGTGTTAATTGAACGATTCACACGCGATTTTGATTTTTGAATCGTGTGTTATTTTAAAATAATCTTTCGATTAAAATTAAAATCGATAAATCGATCGATATTTTTTTTTTAAAACGATTATCGATCGAGTTTTTTTTTTTTTTAATGGCGAAAGTTATGTTTTACTTATGGGATTTAGGTATTTTTTTTTTTTCGTTTTTGTTTCCCCCCCTTCCCCCATTCGATTCGTTTTTGTTTATTTAAAAACAAAAAAATATAAACTTTTCGATTTTAATGCTATGTAAACAATCGTTTGCACAAGAAAAAAAAAGCAGACGACAAGCAAAAAAATAAATAAATAAATAAATAAAAAAGAAAAATTTTTTCTTTTTGTTTTTTAATTACGGAAACGCGAGTTTTTTTTTTTGTTTTTTCTTCTGCTTACACGTGTAAAAACGTCGACTTTTACTTATTACGTCAGGTTTTTCCTGTTTAAATCCCTAATAAAAAACTTACGATTTTGTTTTCTCTCTCTCTCACTCTTTTTTCTTTCTCTAATTCATTCGATTGTTTTCTTCTTCGATTTTATTTTCTTTATTTTTATTTTTTTATTGTATTTATTTATTCTTCTTGTTTGTTTGTTTGTTTTTGTTTTTGTTTCGTACAATTATTATTATTATTATTTTAAATTTAAAAAGGAAGGGGTGAGGGAGGGGAGAAAAAACTTTATAAAAAAAAAATTTTTTTTTCATTCAATTAATTTATTCATTTATTATTACTAATTCCGTTTATTGTTTTTTCTTTTTATTGTCTTATAATTATTATTATTATTACCTATTATTCCTGACGTTCGATGATAATAATAATAATAATAAATAAAAGGAAGGAAGTTATTCGTTTTATGTAACTTTGTGGTTTTTTTTTTTTTTTTTTTGAAAAGGAGACTAAAATGAGTGAAAAGGAAAAATAACAAAAATGTCATGTTTTTTTTTTTTTTTGTAAATTTGAAGACAATGAATGGGATGATTCCTTTGAGATTATCCTTTTGGGATATCCTGAAAGGGAATTTATTTTGTTGTTTTATTTCTAGTCAGAGAGACAAAGGAAAGAAAAAAAAATTACCGAAAAAAAAAATTGGGATGACGGATTCGTGACCGACGACACATACACGTTGTGTGTTTCGTGAATGATTACAATAACGTAAACATTTCGTCAGTTTTTTTTATATTTTTTTTATTTGTAAATTTCCCGTCAAAATAATAAAAATAATAATAATAATAATAATAATAATAATAATAATAATAATAAATTTCTTTTTTTTCCGCCATTTTAAAATAACCCGAAGCATTTTTAACATTTTTTTTTTCTTTTAATATAACTTTAAATAATATTTCTTTCTTTTTCTTTCTTTCTCTCTCTCTCCCTGTCACGTGAATTACGTGTCACGATAAATCGTATTATCATTTTTTTTTTATACGTCCGGCGGCAAATTTCGATATCTCGAAAGAAAAACATTATTAATTTCGATATATTATTTTTTTTTCGATTTATATATTTCTAGCACTTTAAGTAGATTTAATAATAAGAAAGAAAAAAAAATATGTTTAAACCTTGATTTTATTTACTCGATTCTCATTGGTTGTTTATTTTAATTACATAAATTTTTCGACCAATCAGAAAATTTCTTTTTTTTTTTTTTCATTAAAACTTTTTTCTCATTGGTCGAATTTTCACTTAAAGAAAATTACAAATAAAAACAATTTAATTTTTTTTCATTTTATGGCATTTTAATATTATTATTATTTTATCGAACTATTTATTTATTTAAAATAAATAAATAATTAATTAATTTTTAAGATGAAAAAAAAAAGAAGGGGAAGTGGCAGAGGAGGAGGGAGGAGAGGAGAGGAAAGAAAATATAAAAAGAAAATTGTAGAATAAAGTTTTTATTTTTATTAATTCCGGAAAAGGAAAAGTGTAAAAATGACGTCATAAT